CCACCAGGACTCCCAGGTCCTTCTCCGCAGCACTGCTTCCAAGCGGGTCAACCCCTAACCTGTACTGGTGTCTGGGATTATTCCTCCCTAGGTGCAGGACCCTACACTTGCCCTTGTTGAATTTCATTTGGTTCCTCTTTGCCCAACTCTCTAGTCTGTCAAGATATCACTGAATGGCAGGGCAACCTTCCACTGTGTTGGCCACTTCTCCCAGCTTAGTATCATCAGCAGATTTGCTGAGGGTACACTTTGTCCCCTCTCCCTACCTGGAGGTAGGAGAGAAAGTCTTGCAAAAGGAAGACTTTCCTTTGGTCAAGGAGGATTGGGTTAAAGACCATCTAGACAAACCTGACACCCACAAATCCATGGGCCCTGATGGGATGCACCCAAAAGTGCTCAGGGAGCTGGCAGATGATATTGCTAGGCTGCTCTCAATCAACTTTGAAAGGTCACAGAGATCAGGAGAGGTGCCTGAGGACTGGAGGAAAGCCAGTGTCATTCCGTTCTTCAAAAAGGGCAAGAAGGAGGACCCAGAAAACTACAGGCTAGGCAGCCTCACCTCCATCCCAGGAAAGATGATGGAACAACTCATTCTGGGGGTTATCAATAAGCATGTGGAGGACAAGAAGGTTATTGGGAGTAGTCAACGTGGATTCACCAAGGAGAAAGCATGCCTGACCAATCTGATAGCTTTCCAGGATGGCTTGACCAGCTGGGTGGATGAAGAGCAGTGGATGTTGTCTCCCTTGACTTCAGCAAGGCTTTTGACACCATCTCCCATAACATCCTCACAGGCAAGCTTAGGAAGTGTGGGTTGGATGGGTGGACAGTGAGGTGGGCTGAGAACTGGCTGCATGGGCGGGCCCAGAGGGTTGTGATAAGTGGCGCAGAGTCCAGTTGGAGGCCTGTAGCTGGCGGGGTGCCCCAGGGGTCAGTGCTTGGTCTGGTCTTGTTCAACATATTCATCAATATGATCATGATCCTTCCTGAGGGCCAGCCTTAGCAGCACAGACTGAAGCAAAGGTGACATTCAGTGATTCTGCCTTCTCTGTATCCTCCGTCACCAGGGCACCCACCTCATTCAGCAGCAGGCCTACATTTTCCCTAGTCTTCCTTTTGCTGCTGATGTATTTGGAAAAGCCCTTCTTGCTGTCCTTGACATCCGCTGCCAGTTTTAATTCCAAGTGGGCCTTAGCCTTCCTTGTTGCATTCCTACAGTCTCTAACTACATCCCAATATTCCTCCCAAGTAACCACTCCCTTTTTCCATATTTGGTAAACTTACTTCTTCCCTTTGAGTTTTTCCAGGAGCAGGTTAGTATATATTGCTAGCATACCACTGAACACTTGGTTAGAAAAAACATCTGCAAGGAATGGTTTTGGTAGATGTCGATCCTGTCTGGCACAAGGGAATACACTATATAGGCATTTCTCTATCTTTTAAATTGAAAGACCACCTGGCATATAAAAAGGAACCTGTGAATCACTATTTCCTGATGTTCTTCAGGGGAGATGGGGCAAAAAATAAGAAAAGTAATAACTGCTGCTTATCACTTCTTAAAACAGCAGAAATGCATTTAAAAAAAGTAATCAAAACCATATTGAAATACTGATAGAACAATGAACATGGTTCATAACCAAAGCATCAGTATTTGGACATTTTAGAGGTACTTCAGTAATTTCTTATTGTTTCAATACGTTAAGATAATAAACATGCAAAATAATTGCATAAATGAGTCTTCTTTGCCTATCACAGACATTTTTCTGGTGAGTTCTAGTCTCGTGTTATTTCTGTTTAAAAAAGATGGGTTAGGACTTAGCCTGAAGGATCCAACAGAAGGACCATTTTAATTATGTCTTCCTTTATAAAAAGTTTTTATTAACAATATCCTACGAATAAGAATTTCCCATTTGTCACTGGCACTATGTCAAATTTGCTTATTTTCAAATAGGCATATTCATAGGTCATGTGTATACCTAAGAATCAAGTAATATTCTTTAAGCCTACAGATCACCCCCCTAAATAATGAGTGCAACAGCTACCAGACTTGGTGATTTCAGCTCTGAGTATAATAAGAGGAAGCACTGGATGCTTCACACCCCAGGAAAGAAATCACATTAAAGTATTTTGTAATTGAAAGTCAGAAAATAATTCCTTTGATTATTTCCATGTCATTAATTAAAACCATTCACTTTTATCCCTACTTTCCATAAACTTACTGACCTCTTAGTCTTCCAAGTCATAATTCAAATGTGAATGTATGGGAATCAGTAGGCAAGCACTATCGTGGGAGCACGTCACGTCACCAGAAGCAAGCAGCTAGGGCAGTAGCTTAGCAGCATCCTATACTTAGGTAGCGCTGCATGTCATCTAATGTGCACGTGGGGAGGAAGGGGAGGTCAGCACCTGTAGATGACCTAGACAGAGATTTATATCAGCTCATTTGGTAACACATCTAACTGTATGTTCTGTTTAACTATCTGGACTGAATTCATAAATGCGTCTTAAGCCAAGGGTTCAGACTTAATGGGAGAGAAACAGACACTGGACATGGATGCGATAAAGTCCCGCATCTCCTTGACAACAGGGCACATTGTCATTGGGACACAAACACCAGACACCTCTGCATTAGCTGTGGAGAGAGGGAGAGAAGACAGACAATTTCTCATTCTAGGAGAAAACACATAGTGTATACAGAGAAGAGGATGTAAAACAAAGCACCACCTAAGCCTAGATTAAATGTAGCTGAAGCAACTAGAATTCTTAGCTCATACAGACACTCCTGTAAGATAACTGACTGAATTTTTTTACTTGCTGTACACTTCTTTGCTGAAAGAGAACAAACATAAAACTCTTAGAATAAGGGGAGCAGGAGGCAGTACATTGTAAACATCAACCTGTAAACTTGTTTTTTCCCCTCCATCTCTCTGCTCTACTGAATATAACAGCATTCCTGAAAAGATTCCAACTCCAAACCTACACAGCGTTAATTTTCATTTTGATAAGCTATCACTGACCTCAATCACCCAAAAATATAGTATTAGTCAATATGCTTGTTCAGCACCCTTTTTCTACTCAACCTATAGTGATCCAAGTTTACACCAGACAGAAGTATGGTGTATTTCCACTGAAATAAAAGCAGTGGCATCTGCTTATATTTAATATCTAGAATCATTTTAGCAAAACCAGAAAAAGTCTGATGAAAAACATCACCAAAATACTGCCATGTAAGAACAAAGCACTACTTGAAAATAAGAAACAGTATTACCAGAATTATTAAAATTCCTGAAAACTGAAATCAGCAAGAGTTCCAGACAATTCTTTCTACAGTTTATTTTAAGCTTAACTTTTATTTTTCTACTCTTTACCTTCTCCTGCTAATACTTCAATTCTTAGTGCAAGAAGGCACTTAGGTGTTCTACTGCCAAAAAGTACCATTCTTACACTACAGAGGAGACACACTTAAAATGAGAAGGCCTCCATACCAAATAAACATAAGTAATGGAAGACAAGTAAGTTTCCTTTTTCCTCCTCATGTCAAATAAACAGAACATTCAGTTCCATAATCTGGGTTGGGCTGCCTTCCCTCCTTCCCTCTTTGTACAGGCTTAGGTGAAAAGCTTTTGAGACATATTTCTCAAGTACATGAGTTTCGTGTTGGGACTGAGCCAATTAAAACAGGAAGCCATCTGTAATATTTCTTTAGGTATCTCACAAATGCCAACCTCAGCTGTAACTGACTTACCTTTTCCACAATCTGAAAGTCCTAGGCTTTTTAATGAAGAGAGGTAAGAAAATGAACAACTAGCTAAGGGACTTGACTTCCAACCAGCCTCACAGAAACACTACAAGACTATTTTGTTTTTGTGTCTGGAAAGGTGGTATGAGACCCATGAAAGAGTGACACATGTAATGAAAAATGAGATTGCTGCAAAAAAAAATAAAGAAGAATGGAAACTGCCTAAAGATTGCCCACAGTTTAAAAAGAAAAAAAAAGGGGAGAAAAAGACACTAGGAAAGACAAGAGATATTATTCAAAGTAATTACCAAGAAAGAATACGGAACAGACATGTCTGGTTGAGAAGGTCTAAATCAATATTCTGCTCCTCCATCTCACTCCTCCTCCAACAATTTTTGAGAAAAAGTATTAACGTGCTTGCCAAGTAACGTAGACACAGAGTTAAAGTGGCTATGCTAAAAAAACCAACCAACCAGTTCCTCTTACCCACGGCACAAAAAGAACAGTGATGACGGTACAGTGTTATTCTACACACAAATCAGTTAAATTCCTTCCTACACAGTCTCTTTTGAAAGCAGACATAAATTGAAAGGATATCAGATTTCATCTCACAATTTTTTTCATCTACTCATAAACTATAGATATTTTTGATTTGAAGAGAATAAAGCATTGGAATTTAAGTAACGTATCCATTTTACTCCAGCAATACAAAGCACGGATTGGGACAAATTTCAAACTTTATAGAGAATAATAATTTAATCCTTTATAAACTGTATGCCTATTTCTATTCACTAGCTTTGAATCAACTCCATTATATTCTTTCTTTTAAACTTCACATAAAAACTGTGAACTAAAGCTAAAAATTCTTTGAACAATAACTTTTGCCCAGAGTTTTCTCCCTCTTGTTAAGCCAATATGGACATCTCGTTTCAGTTCTGTTCTGAACAAAACTGAAAACACAAGGAGCATACTAGCTCAGTCTTTTTTAAAAACAATTATGACAGGTCTCTAAGAACTGCAGGAACTTCCTTTGGCAAGAGAAGACAGAATGTCAATACTAGCAGAAAACATCATTAAATTATCCGTACCAAGGGGACATTAAAGAATAGATTAACAGAAAGAAGATAGGAAAGAGTAGAAGTCAGTGAAAGAAATCAACAATGAATTTCGTATACAATCATCAATGAGAAAACTGTATTTTGGAAGTATTTGGAATTAACTTTCCTGTCTGTAGATATTTTTTTGATTTTTTTCTACTTACCTAGACCTTTTTGTCCAGGATTTTTAGCAAAGTTAAAAGTAAACTGATAAAAATCTTTGAACTTTGTTGGATCCTTTAGCTCTTGTTCCAGTCTTGGCAATAAAGCTTTTAATTTTTCTGTGGTGTCACACCTGTTCAAAAGAGGTTATATTGTTTGTAAATATTTAAGATTTCTTTTATCTTTTTTCTTCTTGTTTTTATACTTACTAAGGTTTAGGTTTCAGAGGAAAAGAAAGGAGTAGTTAAGATAAAAACCAGTATATTTCAAAATAGCATTTTTAAAAATAAAAACACTCATATACCTTTACTAAATGATTTTAAGTAGAACATTATATATAGACATCCATTAAATACACAACCCAAACAGGATGCAGTGATTTAACTTCTTTGCTCGGTCTCTTCATGAGTTTATGAACTCAAGCAATAGATGTTATTCTTTTAAAAAAGATATAAACCTCACTGAAACCTGCTATCACTTCCCCTTTTATAGCTGTTGTAATGCAAGAGTATACATTTTTGCTTTAATCTAGATCGAGTGGGGGATAAGTAATGCCTATCTAAATTAAGAGCATACTACATTTACAGTTAATGTTAACATTAGAGGACTTTCCAACAAAACGAACTATTATTTGCAGTCATGCTCTCCCCACCATAGAACACTTGTGGATAAAATCTAGGAAAAAGATAAGCCTTTGACGATAGCTTGAAGGCTAACAAACCGTTTAACAGCCTGGCACAGGTAAGCTAAGATAGAATCAAGTTACTGAGATTCTAACAGAAACATATCCCTTAATAACATAAAACTGGAGCATTTTCAGTAAAAGCACCTGAACTGACAAGATGCAATTTTAAAAGAAAAAGAGTTTTCCCCACACCAAGGAATCAAATGAATATTCAAGGTTTATAGGATATTACCAGTATTTTGAATTGTACCTAGAAACTCAAAGAGAAGGAAATAGGTTTCAAAGAAGCAGCTATCATAACTCCCATCTTGCATTTGAAAGTAGCTAAATGTTTGTATTTATTCTACAGACTCAAGAATAATTTTATTAAAGGATGGATAACTACAGCAAAGTCCATAAGATGCAGCTGCAGTTTTAACTGTCTTGCATGGTACAGACAAAAATAAGTACCTTTCTGGCCTCCAGCAGTACCTGGTGGAGAAAAGATAAAAAATTCTGCCAACAGTCTTCAACTGAGAACTTCAGTTTCATGGGGACTTGATCTAGTTAACAACAGGGACAAATACCATACCTTCCCATAGGTATCCTAAAGATGCTATAGGAACTAAGACTCAGGGAATTCCTTTTCATTAAAATCTTCACCTATGTTCAACGCTAAAACCCACAGACACTACACCTCCAGTATGTAACAAAATCATTCCAAATTCTTAATGTGCAGCACACCAGTGGCAAGCAGGTGTGATGAGATTACGCTCCCAAGAACGCTATCATGTGTGTTGATCAGAAAGAGATAAACATCTCAGACCTCTGTGGAACTGTATCAGAGACAGTCGTGAGGACATAGGAGCAACGTGACAATAAAGTTACAAAACAGAATCCAAGCCAGAAGCCACAGGTGGCTTAGCAAAACCTTTTCAATCAGTGACATTAAAGGCTGCCAGCATTATTTGATATAACAGCATGAGCACATAATTGCTGTCCATGGCTAGAAAATCATATTTATTCTTACAGTCTCTACCCAAAGGGACAAAATAAAGCAGTGGACTGCAGGTGATATCAAAAGTTATTTCATCGCAGTTTCTGAATACCCTTACCTAAAAAGGAAAGCTTAGAAAGAAGTCAATAACCGATGAGGTCAGTAACAACAGACTGCTAGGACCCCATCTCAAGAAACAATACCACATTTGCTAGAAGTTGGTCTATTGTAGAAAGGTATTGATAAGGTGCCATTCTAAGATCAAATGAAATTACTTAGTTACAAAAAAATATGCACAAGTAACAAACTGTAATTCTCCACCTATCTAATGCAATGTGTTTAAAAAAATATCATTTTGACACCTCTATATATTAGAAATACTGCATCTCTTCCAAGAAAAAGTAATACACAAAATATTATTTTATGGTGATAAATGCTTGACTTCATTGCTAAACAGAGGCAACATGGTTTAACCTTGAAGTCTGTTATCCAGAACAGCTCCATAATCCAAGAAGAAAAACACAACTTATCAGTTACATCACAATCAGACTAAACAACCTTTTCTACTACCAATATCCTCATTTTTATTTCAATTTCTTATAGATATTCTGTACAAATATGAAGTATCTAGTACACAAGGCAATAGAACTGATTTGTAAGACTGGTAACAAGAAAAAAAGTTGCATTTGGTGGTGATAAGGTAAAGAATCGAAGGTTCTTTTCTGCTTTCCTCTTTCTTTTCTGCTTTAACACTAACAACTTTTTTTCCTTCATACATCTCCAGTAACTTTCAGCTTTTAACAGCACGTGGTCCAACTCAAAACCTTAGCACAACCATGCCTATGTTTATATGAATTGCATGAAAAGATCAGCATATCTGTCTGTCTTCCTTGCCATACAGGTAGGAAATATTTTGTTTCACCCTTGCTGCGGTCATTGGTAAGGCTTTGCAGCAGAGCATCAGTTTAAGGAAGATGGGACACTACAGGCATTTAACGCCTGTTAAGCTTGGCACCGGCCTTACCAGTTTTTTGAAGCTTCACACATAAAAACATTTTTAATTGCCATTCACATTTCTAACAGAAACTGAGCTCAGGCCTTACATTATGAACTATGCAGAAATAGATACTTACCCCAACTCTGTCATGCCATCCACAAATTCCTTTTTACTGAATTCACATTGAGTAGCTGCCCTGAACTTCCATGCTACAACCAGAACACTGATACTGGCAGGGTCCAGGCTTAAATCATCACAGAACTGTTGAATCCCATCAATGCCAATTTTATTTTCATCTTGTGGGTCTGCAGTTCAAAATACAAAGAGGAAAACTGTAATTATTTACAAAAAAAAAAAATCATCTGCACAGCTTTGATGTGCTGCATAACACAGGTCTTTGTTTTTCATAAGCTTCACCAATGTCTTCACTTGAAATCTAGTTACTTTTAGAAGTACCTCAAAGAGTATCTGTAAACAGATTAAGTATTCTGCAAACTTCCCTAGGAACTGCTTTGCAACTTTTTCCTAAATTCATCAGTTAACATTAACAAAATAGTTTTGTCTTCTCTCCACAATGCTCTATGAAAGATCTGAATGAACTGAGGAGATGCCTGACTATATCAAAAAACAGACCAATAAACATGTACATGAAAATGTACAATGTATTTATGTATTAAATGTATGTATTAAACTTTAAAAGAAAACAAAAACCAACCACAAAAAACCAAAACCAACAAAAATATACCTACCAAGTGAGCCCACAGATTTTTTTTCTTGATAGAGACATATGAGAATCCACTATAACTGTTTAAAAACCACAATTACCTCAAACATTTTTGGTTTTTAATTAGAAGTCAAGGAAATCACCAAAACATTGCACAAACAATGCCTTAGCACAACAGGGTCTTAAGCTAAACAATACAACTTAGTACTACTGAAACATAGCATTTCCTAACTTTACTACCTTTTTGAATGTCCCAACCACACTTAGTAACTACCTAGGTAGATGCCATTGTAACAATTCCATAACTGTAACAAAATTTTCTCTCAAAAAAACCCCCCAAACAAACAAACGACCCCCCTGCATTGAAACTTAAATAAATGGAGGGGGAAAACAACACCCCCCCCAAAAAAAATCACGCCTTTAGTTTTCAAAGCTTGACAGTTTACAAACTACAAAACTCTCTCCCAGCTTTTGACAGCCCAACTTACAATACTGAAATGGCTTCCTATGTAGAAAAGTATCCCTCAAGTAAATTAAAGATTAACACCTTAAATTGGTAAGATCATGCTATTTTTAAAAGTCCTTATCCAATGAATTGACAAAAATAATTAAAGAAAACTTTCTTGGTTTTTTTGGTGGTGGTGGGATGTTAAGCTAAGATTTCTTCCACTTTTCCAGCCAATACTACAGTGAAAGAAATGCTAAAATGTAGAGAGGAAGTTAATTTAGCAACCAAAGATTTATACCCATTAAACAAAGAATTACACCCGTGATATAATTCAGGGATCTTTGAGCAGAAAAAACAAGTAAACACATCTATTCTACTATATGCCAGATCTAGTTCCAAGACATATAAAATGCGTTTCTTGTGCATTTGGGGAGTAACTGAAGAACTGAAGGCAAAAAGTGCACTAGTGTTGAAATCAGTGGAAAAATTCTAATGGATTTCAACAAAGACTGTTTCATCCTTATCGTGTTTCATGCCATCCAGGTAACTAGGAACGAAAATGAAATTGTTGTTTTGACAGAGTTGCTGGATAAACAGATAAGAGGACTCACACAAGACAGCACAGAAAATGAAAGACTTCTCATCTCGGACTTCAAATATAGTGCAACGTATGTAGTATTCTATAGGTGCTGTAGGAGAAAGGAATTTCTCGTTGTTGCGAGGCCAATGACTCAGGTTTAAGCTACATGTGAAAAAAAGGAAAGGTGCTTAACCAAAATTTTGATTGCTTTCTCTCAAATCTGGTGAAGGTTTTGTTCAAGTTTACAACTTCACTTAAGTGTTGAAGTGCTAGAACTGTAAAGATGTGCTGCTAAATAAAACATGGACATAAAACTGACCAGAATTTCATTCACAGAAGCCAAGTGGTGCAGTTTGCCACCACTAGAAAATTATGAGTAACAAATAACATTTGTGATTTTTTTTTCGTTTTAGATCTTTTAAGCAGCATTTATGAATTGTATATATTTTTGACCCAGCAATCTCCAAGATTGACATGCAAGGATCAAGCAAACAATTTAGATGTGTGTGTATATATGTTATATATATTTACATATATATATA